ACACTTCCTGCTAGCAAACGGCTGCAAATATCGTGACCATCAGAATCTCAACTGGATATGGGACGCGTTTAGATACTCCTATATTGCAACATAAGCAGTTAAAAACCAAATGGAACTGAATAATTAATGTATGCCGTCCATTAAAGGAACTGATTCCGTGAATACATTTGCTTATGCTCTTAGGTGCTAGAGTAAGTGATCAAGCTCCTAACCTTCCCAGACAGCTGATCCCAAACCTCGTAGGCTCTTCTGAGGTGAACATAATCACTTCCAATGACCTCTTAGGCTTGAAACCCGACCTGCGTAATTTAGATTTTAAATCAGCAAACAAAAGACAGAATTCTGCAGTCAAACAAAGTAGCAGCCGAATGCAAAGTGTATCTATAGTTGAGCTCTCTGAGTTCCATGACTCGGCCAATACCCTCTTTTAATGGCAAAAGAGTTTTCTTACAGTATAAAATGCCACAATCCTTTAAACTTTAGCCAATTCCTTCATACATAGTTAGCTTAAACTTGATTAAAATATTGCATGTTAGGGAAGCATTCAATGAAGGAATAAGCAAAACCATCACAAAATCTGATACCAACACTACTTCAACAATATTCCTTTTTCCAAAATAAGAGATTTCTCATTCCTTCTTCATTCTGTTTCAGCATCGTATGACTTAAGAAAGTTAACCAGGCCCGCTTTTACACTTCCGTAAGTATCTGCTATTTTCCGGTTAAACTAAATCTTGGTCATAAAGCACACGTAAAGCTGACTGGACCCGTACACGAAAGCATACAAACCCAATCAAACAAAAACCAATAAAGGAGGAATTCGACAGAGGCCTATCAAAGAAACATAATCATGAGTAACAAATAAAAGCAACTCAGTTTAAGCAGAGAACTGCAATTTTGCATTGACAATTTCATCAAAAAATTTAAATTTCTAACACTCCACAATTATAATGCATACCGCTTTAGCACATTAATGGCCTCTATTGCACCCAAAACACCAACCACACCATCATACTTCCCGGAGTATGGTATAGCATCAATGTGAGAACCAGTTAAAACAGGGGCGAGCTCGGGTTCATAGCCATTCCTGAGAACCACCAAATGACAGTCATGTTCAAGATATCATAGACCCAATGCAAGTAGAATGGTAGATGGGTGCAAATAAATGTTAAATTAGACTATCTTGTAAAGAGATCATATTACCTAAATCAATGCTAACCAGACTTTTAAAAAAAACTGTGCCAATTTAACTAACATTTTTCGCTTTTGGAAAATTAAAATGTGGATACTCAGAAAATCTCATGAAATGTATTTCCTCGTATCAAATGGAATCGAATATATTTCAAAATGTTAGTCAGAGTTTGCCTAGCTTGAATCTAGGGAACAGAAAATTGTCAAACATTTGGCATATTTGAGTAATACGGAGGTATTAAAAATGAGTGTCTTGCAACATCTGCTTTACAATAAATAGAGAAAAGCATCATGAAAAAACGCTTACCACCGGCCAAAAATGTTCCCAACAGCATCCTCTCTGACAGAGAGACCAGAAAGTTCCATCAAATTTTTAATATACCTGCATGATAAAATAAGCAAACAAGCAATCCCAATGTATTATTTATTTACTAATTCAGAAGTAACAACAATGCTTCCAATGTTGCTTTTTGTGAAATTGGCCAGAAATGAAATATGCATTTCATAAGGATCTATGGGCAACAAGCTAGAAATCTTACAAGAGAAAAATAGTGCAAAAAATGTTGAATCATCTAATCCTAGAAGAATAAGTCAGAAGCAAAACTAATTGATTAAACATAAAATTGGAACTTCATTAACACACAGAAGGAACCTGTAGAATTTCACTACACTACCTTAAATACGCCCCTCTTTTTCAGTTCCAGGTCCATATACAAATTCCTCTCTCTAGCACTCATATCCATCTTGGGTTTCCCAGAGTAATGCTTACTTCCTTAAAAGTATCTATTTTCTTTGTTTAGTCAAGTGCAGACCATTTGTTGCATGTTGTATTTTAAAACCCAAAAAGTTAGGACAGACCCACTTTACACTTCTCAAAAGATACTATTCCACTTTTCTCCTCAAAAGTTAAAGTAGAAGCAAATACCATCTTCACATTTTCAGAACTTAAAATTAAAGATTGAAGCAGTTTCTCGAGCTGACATTATCAGGATACAAGGATCGTGGCAGTTTTCTTCTTTGGCAGAACATGTTCTCTGCCAAGGACATATATAGGAAATGGAGGAGTGCTGTATGGGAAATACAATTTCCATCGCACCAGGTCATACACCTGATTACCCGTTTTGTATCCTGTGATTACTCAAACAAGAGGAAGAGACAAAGGCAGTTCAATTTATTTTCAATGAAGGTACTGAAATGAGTACGCCAGCTACTCCAAATTCAAGTTCACATTTGCTCAACTTTTAGCTCAGTACAGTTTTTAAATACAATAGCACAACTGATGTAGTTTTTAAATACAATAGCACAACTGATATAGACTTTATGTAATGTCAACTAAGCAAAAACTTATTATAAGCTGGTTATATACCTCCTTGCTAATACATCCTTCTCACTGTACAGGATCCTGGTGACCGACGGCGCAGGCGAATCCGAGAAAGTTGCTAGCTCATCTATCTAGAATGACACACATAACAAACTATGATTAGACAGCCAGAAGTTCATACAAGGGGACTCCAAAAATGCTAGAGTGTCATGTCTAGGATTTAAACTTGTGACTAAAGCAATTTTTTAACCCTTTTACTATTAAACAGAATCATCCCTTGTGTCAAGGGGATTCAATGACTAATATAAAACCAAAAAGTAGTATCTTTTTGCCCTATTCGCGCAGAACAATTTTCCCGGCGAAGGAATTCAACTGAACCCCATTGCCTCCCTTTAGCTCTGCCCTTGTGATTAGATAAAATTCTAGATAACATTCAGCTCAATATTATACCAAATGAAATAAGTTATAGCATATACAGAACTATAACAGCCCTCTTGTCAAAAAACAGACATTCCAAATGCATAATATATCCTCCAAAAAGATCCAGTTTATTTAAGTTACTGTCTTTCTCAAACACAACATCACAGAAATGAAGCTGCTAATTTTACGCTTTTCCCATGTACTTGAAAAGACAAAACAGTTATAAATCCTACTTTAGATAAGGTACTTTTAAACTCAATACTACAAATTGTATCCTACTTTAAATAAGGTTCTTTAAACTCAACACTAAATGTAAATCACAAAAGATATCCAACAGTAAACGAAAGTGGTTGAAACGATGAACACGAAAGATTTGTTTTTTCTCCTTTTTCTCCTTCTCTTCTGCACTTTGAGCTGCATTTGATTGGATTTTAGGAACAATGATGAGTATATGCAGCAGTTGAAATGACCACTCTGTCTCATCAATAATCAATTCACATTTCAATATGCTGTTAAACAGGTGAACTTTACACAATTCCTAATGCTTAGTAAAATGAGACATCATTACTAAGGTTTCCAACAACAAAGACAATTATACCTCAGTCCCAAATAAGTTGGGGTCAGTTATATGAATCCCCACGGACCACGTTACACCACTTAAACTTATCTCATGCGGATATTATGCAAATACAAATAAAAAGTAAGTATAAGTTATATATNTTTTTTGCTCTTTTTCTTTCTTTTTATTTATTTATTTATTATTCATTATTTTTTTTAGTTTGTTTTCAATAAAAAGGAAATATAAACCCAATTCAGAGTTCACAAGAACTCCATCTTCAGAGGCTCTTGTTACTCAAGATTCAATTTTTATGACAAATTCAAGAACAGACAACAAAGTGAGCAAACACAAAATTACTATCCTGGGATTTGCTAATTAAATTTACCTGTTTCTGTAGACTTTCAGAGTTGACAGAGAGTGAAGATAAGGAATTGGGATAGATTGGTTCATGAATTGGGTACCCAGAAAATTCCTCCATTGTTTTGATGGTCATGTCTTCATCATCTCTTTGAGCTGATATTGCTGAAAAATCACCGATAAAGCATAGAGAAAAGACGCAGATGAAAAGAGAGAATCTCAAAGCCATAATTTTTTGAGTTCTTGATACTGTGATTGTACTGACTGCACAATTATCATAACATATGCTGTAGTGGCCAACTTATTAGAGTCACGTGTGGGTTTTTTTGGTTAAGTAAGTGATGAGAATCATTGTGGATTTTCACATAAAAGGACAAAAAATGGCTAATGTATTTGTCACATGATCACAATCCTCCACCTTGGAATAAGTGTAACACAAAGATACCGGAAATAAGTTGAACCGCTCGTAATTGGCCATGAAATACTATTTTAATCAGCAATTTATTTTTTCATTTTATCATTACCTAAGTATGACTTGTTGACTTAACATGTTATTAAGATGAAATAATCTCCTAATGTTCACTTACAATATGAATAGAAAAAATATTTTTATAAAGATCTTGTACCAATGAAGAGGAGTTAGCTATTTAAAACTAAAAATATACTTTTTGAAGTAAGTATTTATGTACAATATTATTATTCTTTTATTATTATTAATAATAATTACCACAAAATTATTATTTTATTATTAATCATTACATAAAAAAATTACTGTATTATAATTCTCACAAAATTAGTAAGTGAACCAAACGACTCATAAGGAAATAGGAGAAAGTGCACAAATAGCCATTCTTAAGGCTGTTATTTAGAAATATGCCAGTATTTATTTTGTCATGAAAATTTAAATTAAAAATTTTAATTTCAGGACAAACCAGTATATTTGAGTCATGAAAAATTGAAATGATAAACTAAATTTCAGAAGACTTTGGCTAATTCCTTAATAGCCTCCCTTTAAAGTGGCTATCTGGTGTCATTTCTACGAGGAAATAGGAGAGCAAAGTCCATCGGCATTGGGAGCCCATTTATTGGGCCGAAAAAGCAGCCCATCAAAGTAAAGTTTGGACCACGTAAGGCGGTGAAAAAATCTACTTAGGCCCAACAAAATCATATGCCATTCGATCGCCCGTCAACCGATCGCCGATCTGATCTTCGCCGAAGTCATTCGAATCGCCACCGCTCTCCGCCGTCTGCAACAGCACTCTGGCTAAATTCAGTCGTAAGTTTCATCTTAAACTCTATCTCTCCTTCAGATAGCTCAATTCTTAAGTGAAAAATTTGAAGTGCACAATAAAATTGTGAATTGTGAATTGTGAAAACAGTTTATTCTAAATTTTAATTTTTCGATTTTTAGTTTATCATCTCTTTCTCTCACCAGTAAAAGAACTTAATCTCTATTTTGAATTAATTAGGAAAAGTAGGAACTAATTAACGTACCTAGTAGTATGAAATTTGGTGTTCTAAATTAGGTTGTGATGCTTTATTTATGCTAAGCCCCAAATTTTCTCTTTACATAGGTCTTTTCTTTATCTTACAAGTTGATTTGCATTTTCAAATCCGGTTCCCATGTGTATTTGGCTCCAAAAGGTTTATTTATTAAATCCAAAATTACGATTGTACGCATTACAGTGCTCTGTGAGTTTTCAGTTCTTGGAGTAGAAGCTGGCCCGGACACCACTGTCATTGAAGTAATCTGTCTATGAACCAGTGCCATGATTGCCTTCATTAGCAAATTACATAATATGTGCTCAGAGGTGAATCCAGGATTTAAGTTCTATGGGTTCAACCTTGAAGATTCTTAGCATTGAACCCATTGTAGTTTTAAAGTTATGGGTTCATACCTACAATATATTGTACTTTTAGTGAGAATTACACATAAATTTATGCTTCGCGTTAGAAATACTTGGTTCAATGAACCCAGTATTAATACATTGCATCCGCCTCCGCGTGTGCTGGTTATTGTATTCTGGTTGTAACCCCTCCAACATTAACTTTTTACTGTGTATATATTAGTAAAAGTTACTCTTATAATCTTTTGTAAGTTGCAATCATGCAACTACTCTAATTTGTTATATTTTGATCTTGATTTCCAGGATAGTGTTTAAAGAGCCGGCCGGTGCACAAGGCATCCCGCGTTCACGCAGGCTCCAGGATAGTGTTTGAAAAGGTAAAATTCTACGAACTTGGTGTTAAGGTGACAAACAAAGAGCATGCTTTCGGGATTGAAGTTCGTACCACGCGAGCAGGTAGAAAAGGTGAGGCTACTGACATTTTGTCATCACAGGGTAGTATTCAATAATGATGAAGTAGCATGAATCGTTTTGGTGTTAAGATAACTTCTCTTCTTTTTTGTGATTGTTGTGAATGTTTTTCTTGAAGGTTTTCTTTTTCGTTTGGGTGGATAACTTTTTAACCTTTTTCTTTTTGGGTTCTTTGGTAGTGTATGAGAAAGTTACATGCCTCTGATGCTCGCTACTAATTTTGTGTTAGGCAAAGGATGAAAGCTTGGATGATTCTCGAAAACAGAGGAGTAAATCTGGTCATAAGAAGGAAAGGGAGAGAAAGAAAAAGAAAAAATTTCGTTCCACTAGTTCAGAAGATGACGACGTTGAAAAAATAAGAGCGAGGTCAAAGAAAAAGAAATGGTATGCCTCAGATGACGATTTGTCCTCGTATTCAGATGGAAGTGGGAGTGAGAGTTCTTCTGATTATGAGAGAAAGAGTAGTAGTAGGAAGACAAGTAAGAAGAGAAGAAGCAAGGATGGAAAAAGTAAAGAAAGAAGCAGAAGATCTTCATCTGAGTCTGAAAGTGAAAAAAGGAAAAGAAGTAAGAAAGATAGACAAATTCGGAACGAGGATGATGAACTGGAAGATAACTTGCTTGGTAAGCATAAATTCAGTTATTATCCACTTAATTACGAATAGCCCTTTCCCCAAGATTAACTGATGGAGTAATTTATTGCGTTATTTTCCTTTGGTGGAATTTTAAGATAATGACACTGGTGGATCTAAGTCGCGTAATGATCATGAACTTGTGAGAAGAGAAATGGGGTTGGATTGGATGCTGCGGCCAAAAGACAATGTGGATAAGATTCCCGAACCAGCTTCTAACTGTTCAGCCGAGGAGACTCCAGCCGAAGAGGTATATTTTTAATTGATGTCATATCCTTGTGCCACTTCGAATGCTAGTCTCTTTCCATTTTATCATATCTTATAGTGGGACAATATTGCGGGCTTGCTTATCAAGCCTTATGCCCTCTGTTTTGTATGTAATTTGCTTTAATCAGTCTGTTTATGTTAAGGATGCAAGAGCTAGAGCTGGTTGACATGTCATATAGTGTTCACATTGAAAAAACTGTAATGCTAGAGTTGCTTTTTTCCCAGTCTTCCACAATTCTTCCATTTGTTTGTTAATTGTATTAGGGAAAATGTCCAGATTTACCCCTGTACTTTGCGAGAAGGTCTAGATTTACACTCCTTTAGAAGTTTGGCTCAATTAAGCCCTTGCCGTTACACTTTTGGGCTAAATATACCCCTATTGACTAACAGGCCTAAAAATTAAGCCGCATGGCAGTCATTGGAGTTAAATCAGATTGATTAGAGATTAATTAATTTAAAACAAGGGTCTGTTAGTCAATAGGGGTATATTTAGCCCAGAAGTGTAACGACTAAGGGCTTAATTGAGGCAAACTTCTAACGGAGAGTAAATCTAGACTTTTTTTGCAAAGTACAAGGGTAAATCTGGACCTTCTCCCTTGTATTTATGTCTTTATTCCAACGTATCACAAGATTTATCTTGATTGCATAGTGAGTGACCATCCTGAATCTTTATTATTCCCAGTACTGTTACTCATTTCAATTCATTGAGGGGATATGAAGCAAGGGTAATCTTGGCGCACTGCTTGATATTGTTATGTATTGGGACCAGACTGACATCCATATGTTTCTTGTTTTAGGTGCCAAAAGTAAATCCCAGAGAACTGAACCCATATTTGAAGGATGGTGGAGGTGGTTATCCTGATGATTCAAAAGGAACAAATACTGGTGGTAGCCAACTTCTGTCTACTGCTGTTATTGGTGATGGAGGTGCAAGTTGGAGGCTCAAAGCCTTGAGACGAGCTCAAGAACAAGCAGATCGTGAAGGACGGAAGCTTGATGAGGTTGGCATTTCAGTGTTTGTCTTGCGCTTCTATTGCAGTCACTTTCTAACTTTTACAGTTACAGGTGGCAGCAGAACGCTGGGGCTCACTTAGTCAGCTTGCTGTTTCTGTGGCTTCTGGTAAAGCTGCACCTACCCGTGCTCATCTACATGCTATCAACGATAGGAGGCGAGGGGTAATGGATGACAAAGAAGCTGTTGCAGACAAAAGAAATCAGACTTATGCTAAAAAGGTAATGTCAAATGAGAGCCGGTGAATTTACTATAAGACGACAGTTAGTTGCTTTGTATTTCTTTGGTTTCTCTTTACAGTTTAGGCTTGTACATTTGTAATTTCAGTTCTTGATGGAGTAACTTCTAAATATCAAGTTTTTGTTAAAGTAATTTTGGCTTTTTTTAAACAATTATGCAGTAGTCTCATTTCTAAGAATCTGTGCCTTGCTCCTATTAAATATAGAAGGAAAGTGGTGTAGTTTCCTTTAGTAAGAGGAAATGACAATTTGGCTATTTTTGTGCTGTGTTTTATTGGTGTTAGTTGTCTCATAAACATGTGTTTGCAGGACACATCCTCTGGTCATTCTAAAATGCGAATGCCCAACTCTAAAGATTCTTTATCATGGCGCAAAGAGAAAAATCAAAATATATCCAATGCGGATGCGGGGCTTATTGCCACTGCAATTTCTAGTGTAAATAAATTTTCCAACGACGGAAATTTTATGCGTGAATTTATGCATGAAAAGAGTGGTGATCCCAGTCTTGCTCGTGATTCTTCAAATCCAAGGTCAGGAGTCTCGGAATCAAAACCAGATTTACCAGTATATGAGAAAACAAGTGAAGATGGAACAAATATCAAACCAGCCTTGACTGCAAATCAATTAGCTGCAAAAGTGATGCAGCTTCGCATGAGAGGGATGCATGATGAAGCAGAAAAACTTCTGGTGAGCAATAATTCATTCTCTTTTGTATATTATTCAAATTAGCACGACGGTTAGTCAAGACCATTTTATTTCAAGTAACATCACTGATATTTGATGTTGCAGGTCTTTTAAAACACATGGATAGTTTGTAACGTGTCATCTGCTTTATCTATTTGTCGTAGGTTCCAAATTGATTCATCTGTCCTAGATCTTGTTCTCTTAGCTAGTGTCCTTTTTATTCTAAATTGACAGTCAAGACCTAAGTTGCTCGGACTCGGGTGCGGGTGTCCGATACGGGTGCAGGTCAGATCCTTCATGATCTAAATTTAAAGATTCGGGGGTACGGATCCAAGTACGGATACGGGTGCGGGGATTCGGCTAAAAATAATTCAATTATTTAAAAATCGAGTTATAAAAATATGTATAAATTATGAGACGTGTGAAAAACTTACAAGGTATTCCGAGAAGGAGAAAATATTGAACAAGAGTAGAATTTTAGAAGGAGATAAAAGGAAAAGGACTGACATAGAAATTTATATATACAAGGTATTCCATTTTCTTCCATATCACCCTAGCTTTTGATTTGTTTTTAAAAATCATAGTATCTGTCCCAAATTTCTCCGTTGATTTTGGTCAAAGTATCCAAAATCGGTTGACCAGATCCGACACGGATCCCACACCCATACCCACACCCACGTCGTGTCGACACGGGTGCTGCACTGAAAGTGAAGAGTCCGAGAAACTTAGGTCAAGACCATATGTATTTCAAGTAACATCACTGATATTTGATGTTGCAGGCTTTTTAAAACGTACCAATAGTTTGTTATGTATCATCTGCTTTATCTATTGGTCATAGGTGCCAAAATGATTCATCTTTCGTAGATCTTATTTTCTTAGCTAGTATTGTTTTATTCTAAATTGATGGCTAGATCAGTCTCTAAATTTCTTTCTTTCCCGCTTTCTCGAAACTAGTGACATTGTTAAAGCATCTCCATGTTGGGCAGCTTCTTGTTTCTGTAAGCAAATTAATAGGGGGAGGTTTATTATAAGACTTAATGACACTTAGTCTCGAGCTGACTGTGTAGGCTCCATGATTGTATTCAACTTATAGTGTATCACTTTCTCTTTTCAGAAAGAAACAGAGGAGATGAAAATGAAACAAACTGCTAATGATGTGTCGAGCAGACCCACCGATTCATGGGAGCACAAGCAGGTATTTTGGATCTGAATCGTCAGTTGTGGCTTTCTTGACTTGATGAATGGTTCTTTTTATCTTTTTGATCTCAATGCCTACCAGCATACTGAATCTGCTGGCTCTTATCCTTTATTTAGATATGTGATGCATGACCTATCTGCTCGGCAAAAGAAGAAAATGGAGGATGCTGATATGCATCTTGCTCAGAAGATAGCGCAAAACAAACAATATAGTACGTATGGTCAGGCAGATGATGAGTATGATTATGATGATGGGCCGAGGAGGAAGTCCCGGAAAAAAGTAGGAATGGAGAATCAGAAATCTCTTGAGGTAGCTCATCATGCAAAGCGCGTTTTGACTCAGCAAGAGAGATGCCAATTCTGCTTTGAGAATCCAACAAGACCAAAGCACTTGGTGGTTGCCATTGCAAATTTCACTTACTTATCACTGCCAGTTTGGCAGCCGATTGTCCCAGGTCATTGCTGCATCTTGACAATGCAGGTGACTTTGAGCCCTTTTCTGGTCATACATTTGTATGTTATCTTTTTCGTTCATTATTGTGTATAATTAGCTAACTAATTGAATTTCGAAGAAATAATCTTAGCGTGCTAGATCTCCTTGGGTAAAATGTCGTATTAGCAATACGGAGATCCCTGTTCTTATTTGTCCGTGTTACTGCATTTCAAGAAATCATTTACATCAGAAGAAAATATTTTCTGTTGTGGTAGATACGTCAGGACACTGTTGCTGCCAAAATTCTTGTTATATCACTATCTTTGCTCCCAATTCTTTGTTTTTTGTCATAATGACCTTCGCTTGCTCTCTGAACAGCATGAATCAGCTACAAGATCTTTGGATGATAATGTCTGGGAGGAGTTTAGGAATTTCAAGAAATGCCTCATAATGATGTTTGCAAAGCAGGAGAAGGATCTTATTTTTCTCGAGACTGTGATGGGTTTGGCCCGGCAAAAGCGGCATTGTTTGATCGAGTGCATTCCTATGCCCAAGGAAGTTGCGAAGCAGGGACCTCTGTACTTTAAGAAGGTTTGCAAAACCATCCTATAAGTTGGCCATTTTATTATTTTAGCTACTGTCTATCAAGTTTTGGTTTGGAATGAGTTGGGATTTCTCTGTTGGGATCTAGAAATTGCCTAGACTTCCTAATTGTGATATGAAGGGGTTTTTGACAAAGCATCTGAAGATTACCAATTGGTTTTTAGTCAATATGATTAGAAAGTGGTCGGAAACTGTGAAATATGAAATGTCGTTAGGATTAGTGCTAGTAAGTCTCACTTCTTGGTCTTCTACTCTTAACAAGTCATAGGATGTACTTGGCTTATTTGGTGGAAGCTAATGTTCACAATTGCATCGCTTCTTTTTAGCTAAATGCTTATGTATCGATGTGAAAGAAAGCATAGAACTGTCTTTTGGCTCTTAATATTAGACCCGTTGGATATTCAGAATCAAGTCGCTTAGGATTTGTTTCTTGCTAATAATGAAGATTGGCTAGAGATACTCGTGGTTACGCATAGAGTACTAGAGGTACTCGTGGTTGCGCTTCCATTCACGCTCATACTTGTGCTTTTCCCTTTCTTCTATGCCCTATTTGTTGCAATGTCATTGTAGTAGTGTTCTTTTCTACACTTGCTTTTAACAAATATTCACTGTAGGCGATTGATGAAGCAGAAGATGAATGGAGTCAACACAATGCTAAGAAGCTCATAGATACAAGTGTGAAAGGGTTGCGGTCCTCAATTCCTAAGGATTTTCCGTACTTCCACGTTGAATTTGGCTTAAACAAGGGGTTCGTTCATGTAATTGACGATGAGACACAGTTCAATAGCAGCTTTGGCCTCAATGTGGTAAGAGGAATGTTGAAGTTGCCACCTGAAGACATGCATCAGCAGCGTCGGAAGCGTGAATCAGTGGAGACACAGAGACAAGCTGTTGCTAGTTTTATTCGAGATTGGCAGCCTTTTGACTGGACTAAACAGCTCGACTGACAACACATTAGATGTATGATATCTGTACTCTGGATATAAATTTGTTATCCACATGTCGGTGTAGATTGTGTTTGTAAATGAGGTAGCGAGCGAGTAATCATACTCTCTCTATCAATATTCTTGCGTGATTGTAATTTGGTTTTAATCCTGGAAATGTAAATTCATTGGAATTTTTTATCGCGGAAAGGAAATGGAAACGATATGGTTAAAGCCTCGCAGAAGAGTAGCCATAGGAAATGACAATAAGAGGGCCTACTATTGCATTGGAGTTATAATATATGGTGCTTATTTTGTTGTTCATCGTCCACATTGTCGAGTACATATAGTAATGTTTAAGCATGTAATACATGTTTTTAGAGATTATCCTGTCGATCTTGTTCATACATTTTTTCCCCCTCGAGTATAATCAACATGGCTTAGCCCAAGCCAACCTTATTTTAGGAAATTTTTCATAATTACAAGATTAGTAAACTTTTACACATAAATTTATGCTCCACGTCAAAAGTACTGAGTTCAGTTCAATCTGGTGTCAATACATTGCATCCGCCTCTGTGTGTAAGTTGTTGCTTAGAACTAATTGTATATTTTTCTAAATAGATCATATGCCTTTGATTTTCAAGTTCTTCCTGTTGGAATGATAGATCATTGTCAATAATCAAAAGTATCGATGTAGTTTAATAGATACTTAACTACTTTCGCTTGAGCAAATGTAATGATATTTGGTGCAAACAAAATTCATATACATGCATGGACTTGGTAGTACATTCTTTCTTGCACCACTACGATAACATATTGTTGAATGTTTCTAGATATCTCGAGTTTCGTTATTCTAGTTCTAACTTCTAACACGTCTATTTGATCACGAAACAGGTCATTCCAAGTGTAATATTTTCTCAAAAGCTAATTTCCTATTAGATAAATATAACCAATATTTCATAATCAAATAAAGTCCTTTAAAAAAATTATCGATATGAAAGGAGCAAACATCATGACTTAGATTATAAATTTGAATAGGAATGAATTGCTGGCTATACGATTCAAAAGTTAAATAGGAAACTCCGATACTGAATCAATATATTCTATTCTTCTATGCATATTGGTTTTATACTCCTAAAGCCAACTGTTAAAATTTAATTTGTTTTTGCAGATTAAAAATGATAAATATTCAGTCCCAATTGGATCAAATGTGTATTGTAATATTGCAAAGAGTCGATTATGGTAGATTAACTTTCAAGACTGTATAACTTGTGTACAAGAGCTGTTTTCAAGACTATATTGCAAGAAATCGATTGAAATATTTTATGTAGTCAGTCTAAATTGCTACGAAGAAATTTAGATTTATAGTAATCAGTGATCAGTTAACTACTGACTATTAATATGTTGGAAATTTACATAAAATACAGAGTATTCCCTCCAATAACATTTAAGAAGTGTTTTTATCTACATATAGGATAGGGTTGGTGTAGCTTTGGAACTTCAACGATTGGTAGGACACTTGTTATTTATTAGAATTCCATGCAAATTGAAGTTGGAAAGACGCAAGTTTTTTGTAATGACCTAATCGGTCATTTTTACTTTTAGAACCCCGTTCTCTAAAATAAAACTTTCCGTATGTGCTTTTAATGGTTTATGACTTGCGGGGATGGTTGGTTTGGGATTTGAAAGTGTTTGGGTTGAAATCAGAACACTTGATTCCTTAAGTTGGCTTTAAAAGGCCAAGCTTGACTTCGGTCAACATTTTGAGAAAATAACCCCGGAATAAAATTTTGACGATTCCAACAGCTCCGTATGGTGATTTTGGACTTAGGAGCGTGTTCGAAATTTTATTTGGAAGTCCGTAGTTAAATTAGGCTTGAAATGGTTAAAATAGGAATTTAAGTTTGAAAGTTTGACCGGGGAGTTGACTTTTTGATATCGGGGGTCTGAATCCAGTTTTAAAAATTTTTATAGCTCCGTTATGTCATTTATGACTTGAGTGCAAAATTTGAGGTCAATCGGACTTGATTTGATCAGTTCCGGTACCGAATGTAGAAGTTGGAAATCTTAAGTTTCATTAAGCTTGAATTGGAGGATGATTCATGGTTTTAGCGTTGTTTGGTGTGATTTGAGGGTTCGACTAAGTTCGTATGATATTTTGGGACTTGTTGGTATAATTGGTTGAGGTCCTGAGGGGCTCGGGTGAGTTTCGGACGACTAACGGATCACTTTTGGCCTTTGGGAGACTGCTGATAACTGCTGGTATTTTTCTTTTGATTTCCTTATACGCGATCGCGTAAGTTGGTCTGCGATCACGTAGAGTAATTTGGACAGAGGTGGATTTGTTCTACGCGATCGCGTGAATGGGGTTGCGATCGCGTAGGCTTATTTTGGGCAACTGGAAATTCGTTCTATGTGATCACGTGGGCACGTTTGCGATCGCGTAGGTTAGGCCAGCTTGTGCATCGCGATCGCGTGTCGTTATTTGCGATCGCGTAGGGGAAACTGGGGAGGAGCTGTGCCACGCGCTTAATACTTCGCGATCGCGTGAGGAGGCTTGCGATCGCGTAGGCTTGCGGAGAATATGCTTCGCGATCACGTAGGGTTAATATTTGGGCAGTAGAATTTGTGCTACGCGATCGCGTGAGGAAGTTCGCGATCGCGTAGAAGAAATCACTGGGCAGAGAGTTTAAGTTCTGAAAATGGGACTCCATTTTTAACGATTTGGAGCTCGGATTTAGGCGATTTTTGGGAAATTTTCAGAGAAAACAATGGGGTAAGTGTTCTTAACTCAATATTGGTTAAATTACCCGAATCTATCACTATTTTTATCATTTAATTGGTGAATTGAGTTGGAAAAGTTTGAAAACCCTCTTGGATAGATTTGAGGATTTGAGGGCCGAATTGTTATCGGAATTTAGTGATTTTGGTATGGGTAGACTCGTGGTTGAGTGGGTGTTCATATTTCGTAACTTTTGCCGGATTCCGAGACGTGAGCCCCACAGATGAATTTTTAATTAATTTTGAAATTTTTATTAAATGTAGTATTTTCTTATAGAATTGATTCCTAAAAGTTTTAGTGATTATATCGAATTATTTTGGCTAGATTCGAGCCAGATAGAGTTGGATGATCGTGGAAAAGGCCTTCTAGTGGATTAAATTGGAGCAAATTGAGGTAAGTCTCTTGTCTAATCTAGGCATGATAGATGCATCTATGGATCGTGCCTCACGTCCCTCAACAGTGTATACGAAACTCTGGATCGGGTCGTACGACCTCAGCATAAATCGTGCTTAATAATAATAATAATAATTACACGATACTTGGACAGTTTATTGCAGCTTGTAAAGCTATTTGATAAATACGAAATTTATTGAAATTGAAGGATTTAATTAATAGATTGAAAATTGTTGCATTTGAAAGATTTTTATTATTTCTGCTAATTGAAAAAAATTATTGTTAACTCTATGAATCATGCTGATTTGAATAATTATAATTTATTTCATTTATTATTGTTGACCCTTAGTGAGTGTCAAAGTCGGCCATCTCGTCTCTACCACTTCGAGATTAGGCTTGATACTTATTGGGTACATGTTGTTTATGTACTCATACTACACTTGCTGCACTTTTTGTGCAGGACCTGAGGCAAGTATTAGTGGGGGACCTAACGTCTTACACCCACGTTATCCAGGGGCATAGTGGTGAGCTGCCTTTCTGAGCCGTTCTGCAGTTACCAGTGTCTCTCCTTGTATTTTTTATTCTGTCCATTTTTATTTCAGACAGTGGTAGAGGTTTTGTATAATCTACTAGATGCTCATACACTTGTGACACCAGGTCTTGGCACACACATTGGTAGAATTTGGTGTCTTATATTTTCTTGGATTTAAATTTTATCGATATACGTTTAATTTATTAGTCGGCTTGCCTATCTATAGTGTTGGGCCCCATCACGACCTATAAGTGATATTGGGTGGTGATATTTTTAATGTTACAATTGTATCCAATAGATATTTAGTTTTTAAAGGGCATAAACTCACACTACTAGAAATCATATGATTTTCGTCCAAGGCTTTCCGACCAAAATCGGTCGGAAATAAGAGTATTTGGTCGCAAAAGTCAACAAAAATTTTCTGACAGCAAAAAAATAAAAATTTCGACCGATTTAGGTTGGAAATTGGTCAAATATTTGGTCATACTTGTATATAATGTACAAAAATAATTATTTATTAAAATGTTTCCAACTTTCCGACCAATTTTGGTTAGAAATTGGTCAAATATTTGGTCATACTTGTATATAATGTACAAAAATAATTATTTATTAAAATTTTTCCAAATTTCCGACTGAAATTTGGTCGGAAATTTGGTCAAATATTTGGTCATACTTGTATATAAAATATATTAATATTTTTTAGAATTTACGACCTATTTCGGTCGGAAAGTTTGAAATTTTTGTTTCCCGCCCAACACAAAAATTATATATATTTAATTAACCAACCGAAATAATTATAATTCAATATTTCCGACCGAATNGAAACAGAAGCTTAAGTCTTAGGATTTTGACCGTAGTTGGAACTATGTGAAGACGACTCCGGAATGGAATTCCGTCGGTTCCATTAGCTCTGTTGGGTGATTTTGGACTTAGAAGCGTGTCCGGACTGTAAATTCGAGGTCTATAGCTGATTTAGGCTTGAAATGGCGAAAGTCAAATTTTTGGAGATTTGGACCGGAAGTGACTTTTTGATATCGGGGTTCCAACTCCGTTATGTTATTTGGGACTTGCATGCAAAATTTGACATCATTTCGGGTTGATTTGATAGGTTTCGGCACGAGTTTTAGAAGTTGAAAGATTTAAAAATTTATAAGTTCGATTCATGGTGCGATGCGTTGTTTCAACGTTAGTTGATGTGATTTGAGGGCTTGACTAAGTTCGTATGGTGTTTTAGGATTGGTTGGTATTTTTGGTTGAGGTCCCGAGGGACTCGGGATGATTTCGGATAGGTATCGGGGAGTTTGGACGTTGGAAATGCAGCTGGAGCTGCTGTTCTGGTGTGTCCGCACCTGCGGATTGGGAACCACAGGTGCGATGATCGCANCAGCTGGAGCTGCTGTTCTGGTGTGTCCGCACCTGCGGATTGGGATCCGCAGGTGCGATGATCGCAAGTGCGTGGGAGGCTCGCAGATGCGGAGATGGAGGCCTGGGGCTTGGTCGCAGATGCGAAGAGTGGATCGCAGCCATAGGTG